CACACACAACACACAACACAACACCCAACACCCAACAGCCAACACCTAGCGCTCAACACACACACCACACAACACACAACACACCCGACACAACAACTACCCACCACACAGTCCACCACATACAACACACGCAACACACACACACACATACACACCGCACACGAAGCACAGACACAACACACACAACTCACAGCACACACCATACTTCACACGGTACGCATAAAACACGAACTACACAACACAAAACCAACTTCACAACACTACGCAAAACACAGCACACACCACAAACAGCATCACACACCAGCACAGGCAGGACAAACAAAATACAACCCACACAAGACTCACAACAGACACACAGAACACACACACACACGCATGCACAACACACACACACACAACGCACCCAGGACACATACAACACGCACAAAGCCAACACACAACACGCACACCACACAGCACGTTTACAACGCACACGCAGCCCACACGTAACACACAGCATTACACAACAACGCCTGACAACACACACCACACACACACAAACCACACACAAACCACGATTACAGCAACAACACCAGCAACACACACAACACGCACACAACGCACACAACACCCACACACACGCACACATCACACGGCACTACACAACAACGCCCAACAAGACACACACACACACACACTACACACAAACCACACACACACACAACACGCGCACACAGCTACAACAACACACACGACACACACAGACACAATTGGGGCGTCGCGGCCGTGCGTGCGGCGACAGGGTGGAGAAGATCTAAAAGCAGGTAGCGTGCTCGCGGACTAGAAGCGCCCGAGCCCTCAAAGACCCAAGCACACAACATACACAACACACTTCACACACAGCAAGCACTATACACAACACACACCAGACAACATCACACGCCAGCGCACACATAATACACAACACACAGCACACACAACACTCACTTCACACAACACGCAACACAACGCTCCCTCCTGGGGCAGCCCTCCGAAAGCCGTGGCACCGCCGGGGGGGAGGGGGCGAGCTGCAGGGGCCCTCTCTCAGGAGCCCCTGCGCGCCGAGCGGCCACTGCGATGCCTCGAGGAGGCTCTCATGGAGACCGGCTGCCTCGACCCGCTGCCGCCGCGCCTCATCCTCAGGCACTCGAGTAGGGGATCGACGACAGAATTTCCTTACTAAAAGTTGTTTTCCGCCGAAGCCCTGAATACGGTTCGTAGATCTATGAACATCCTGCGTATGTTTCGTAGACCCGACGAGGAAATCAAGTCTGGGGTACATCAATTCTGCAGTCGATCCCCTGCTCGAGACATGCGACGTCCTGATTTTTTTAACGCGGGATCCGCCGATTCCAGAGACCCTTTCCCCGAGACCGGTTGTTCACCCGCGATCATTCTTGCCGGTCCCGGGGCCCGGCGACGGTCCCTGGGAGGCCGGAAGCGACGACAAGGCTACTTACCGACCTGATGTTTCACGACGAGAACATGTCTGGTCGGGTCGGGCGAAAGGGGGGGATGGCAAAGGGGGGGTTTGAGAATCAGCTCATATGTAGCTGATTTTCCCGGCGCCTCCCGGCGCCGGAGGCGGCTATGTATCGAGGCATGGGCCCCTCGGTGGGGCCGAAACCAGCAGCATGCAGCAAATTTCGTAACCCCCCCGTTCCCAATCCCCCCCCTTCGCCCGGCCCGAAGGGTGCGGGCGGGCCCCAGGCGGCGGTGGCGGCGGCGGCTCGCCCCGGCGGCGGCGCGTGAGGCCCGGGCGGCGGC